TTCTTTTCATTCTTCAATTTATTTGTTTGGTTCTTGATCGTTTTACCACTTTACTTTTTGAAATTAGTCCTATTTTACTTTTTCTATTCAAGTTGTGTTCTATGGGTTCAGACGTCAATTGATTTGATCATCTGTTGTAGTTGCAATTACAGTCAGTACATAAGTCACAAACAAAGACCCTGGTTTCACTTCTTGCAAATAATATTCGATGGAAAGAATGGCTTGTTCATGGATATTTCTGTGAAATACAATAAAGCTGTTTTTATTGTCTTTGGTCACTTGAATGACTGCAACTTTGAGTTGAGGGAAAAGGGAAAATGCAGAGTTGTTCTCTAAGATCATATCTGGAAAAATCCAATAATTTGTGCAAAACATGGGATTAAATACCAATCATAAACTGCATTTAGATACTATATTATGTTGTTGTCATTGTAACCTGGAATGTCGATTGTGTTACAGAAGTAGCAATCTCAACGAATTGGATCTCCCAATTTCTTTTAAAAATCTGTTTCAGAATATTGTTCTTTAGCACCATAAAGCTCATATAATGATAACATTTTAGTCATGATTGATTCCAGGATATGGTTCTTAGTACTAAAATTTTTGTTCTGTTATTTAGTTGTGGATTGCTGTCTATCATAATCGGCAAAATTTCCTCCTTTCTTCAGATGTAGCTCTTGTCACATCTTTAAGGGATGGCATGAACCTTGTCAGTTATGAGTTTGTTGCTTGCCAAGATGTAAAGAAAGGGGTTCTCATTCTCAGTGAAGTAATTACTTACTACTTATTCATTGCATGTTTTTTTGTTGAACAAAACTAGATTTTTCTCTACTTAATTTTCATTCTATACAGAAGACTTTTAGGTTGATCAACATACTTGCGGTCAAAGTACTGCAGTGCTTTTACCAAGTTAGTGAAAATAGTTATTTCCAATCTTTAATCCTTGATTTATCGTGCAGTTTACCGGTGCTGCACAATCTCTGGGTGCTGGAGCAATTCTAGTAAACCCTTGGAATATCACTGAAGTGGCTGCTTCTATTAGCCAGGCTTTGAACATGTCAGCTGAAGAAAGGGAGAAGCGATATCAACACAATTTCCATCATGTGACATCACACACTGCTCAAGAATGGGCTGAAACATTTGTAAGGTGTGAACATAATTTGTGTCCAATTTTGAAATATGCCTTTTTTGCTTGTTTCTCGCTTCAAAGTTTCAAAACTCAAGGGAACATGTTGATCATTTTGGGTAGGAATTTTTTCCTCTTATGGGCTAATTAGTTCTATTTTAACATGCCTTTTGAGTGTTTGACTTACTCATGTGGGGGAATTGACGTGGTCCACCAAGTTGGACCATTGGATCTCGACCATTTGCTTTTAGCTTAGGCGCCTTAACAAGCTAGATGTTATTATCATTACTAATTCTGTGGTCACTCCCAAGATCATATTTCCCGATAATTGTATAAATGACTTGGAAATCTAATTTTTTTCCTTATTAAAATTAATGTATCCCTTTCGTGCTAACCATGTCATGGAAAAATTACCAGGATTCAGAAATTTGAGTTTACTATAAATACTTTGCAGTGAACTGAACGATACTGTTGTCGAAGCAAAACTAAGGACAAGCAAAGTGCCTCCTGAGCTGCCACAAAATGATGCAGTGGAACGTTACTTGCAGTCTAGCAATCGATTGCTGATACTGGTATGGCTGTTTGAGCAATAGTCTCTTTTATTTTAAAATTCCCCTCAACCAGTAAAGGCTTTATCCAAGGCCTGAAAGTATAAGATACACATCAAGCCCATAGGCGTATGATTGTTCTTGTGTTAACTAAAATCAAGTGGTATTTGTCCTTTCTTTAAACATTTCTACGTAATACATTGCTGTCTACGATTGTTAATGTGATTGTTAGCTCTATTGTTTTCTTTTTCGCCTCTGCATTCTTTTACCGGAGGGGTACTATTAAAGTTCTATATGCTTCCTATGTTGTTGAACTCATCTTTGGGATGGCTCAAAACTCAGGGTCTTAATTCCGCATTAACGGAACCAGTGGATACTCCAGGAAGTAGAGGTGATCAATTCAAAGAAATGGACCTCAAATTGCACCCCGAATTAAAAGAACCCTTAACAGCTCTCTGTAATGATCCAAAGACAACGGTAGTTGTCCTTAGTGGGAGCAAGAGAGATGTCTTGGATGAGGTACGCTTGGAATTTTTTTCTTTCTTTCTTTCTATTCTATCCTTGGTCTGTCCTCTATCAAAGCCAACTGATTGCTCTCGTAGGACTTTGGGGAGTATGACATTTGGTTGGCTGCGGAAAATGGGATGTTTCTACGCCATACAAAGGGAGACTGGATGACAACCATGCCAGAACACTTGAATATGGAATGGGTTGATAGTGTGAAGGTAACCAAGTTGTCCTTAATGTACTCTCCGTCCAATTTGTATTTCCTGCTTTTCCTAACGATGCTGATGGCACGTGGGCAGCATGTTTTCGCATATTTCAAAGAGAGAACACCAAGATCACATTTTGATTTCCGCGAGACATCGCTCGTATGGAATTACAAGTATGCAGGTAGTTAGTCCTTTATATTTCCAAGTTTTCTCTCGTTACAGACCCTGCTTGCTCGACTCCTCATTGTGTTTCCTATCGTGTTATTTTGTCTGTAGATGTTGAATTTGGAAGACTTCAGGCAAGAGATATGCTGCAGCATCTCTGGACCGGTCCAATTTCTAATGCATCTCTTGATGTTGTTCAAGGAAGTCGATCAGTAGAGGTGCGACCAGTTGGTGTTACGAAGGTAACTGCCTGTTCGCCTTACATGGATTTTGTTTAATCTATTCGAATATGTCTAGTTTATCGGCAATGGAGATGGTCGCTTGCCTTTTTTATAACTTCACTTAATCCCAGGGGGCAGCTATTGGTCGTATTTTAGGAGAGATAGTTCACAATAAATCAATGACAACTCCAATCGATTATGTCCTTTGTGTCGGACATTTCCTGCAGAAGGTAATATTCTCATCAATCTTGCATCAAAGACATTAACATGCATGGTATTGAACTTGGTTTGATGTACTTTAACGATGAGATAATTTTCATTTGTCGCTTCACCAGGACGAAGATGTTTATACGTTTTTTGAGCCGGAGTTGCCTTCTGATGCGAGTGCGCCAAGAAGCAGGCCACCAAGTGATGGACCAAGGTTATCTACAGAGAGAAAGACTCCTCCGAAACTTCCGGTAAGCAAAAACGGGGCAAAATCATCGCAGACGATAACACCCCAAACATCCCCAGCTCCTGATAGAAGAACCGGCAACAATAACCATAGTGGTGGGAGTGTACGGCGTGCATCAACAGAAAAGGAAAAGATGGCCTGGAGCGTGCTCGATCTCAAAGGAGATAACTACTTCTCCTGCACCGTTGGACGGACTCGGACTAGTGCTCGATATATACTCGGTTCGTCGGATGATGTCGTCGCATTTCTGAACAGACTGGCAAATGGTTCTTGATCATGCGCAATAATCCACCTCTAAAACATTTGAAGGCTCTGAAATCGATGGCAGCAACAAACAAAAAAGCATTCTTTGACGTTCGAGACCGCTATGCTGCTGACACTTCCTCCGATTCTCCCATCCTTCCGGGATCGAACTCTGCAAACCAAAGTTTCCGGACACATGAATAAACCGAAGCATGGTTCATATTATTAGTCAAAATATTATATATATATATATATATATATATATATATATATATATATATATATCATTAAGGAAAACACTATTTAGCGACAAAATTTTGTCTTCATTTTTATCTATGCATGGAAAGGTGGATGCACATCTACATATAGATACAGATTACAGAGTACGTAGTGGAAAGCTTTGACTTGTATAACCAGCACTATACCCCACCTACGTACAATTAATTAATTAATAACGTTGAAATTTATATGCATTATTTAAAAAATAACAAAATAAACTCTTGGAAAATTTTATTTGAATCAAATCAATGAAAAAATTATTTAAATATATTACAATGATTATTTAACTAAAATAAAAAAATAAACTTAATTTTATTTGAACACAAATTATCTTAATTTTAGAGAAAAATAATTTCATTCATTATTGGTGAAGTTAAAGAACTTGATAAAAAAATTTAATGAATGATGTCATATTTAAGAGTTGATGTTTTAAATAAAGATGAATATAATGTTTAGGAATTAAGGATTAGTGTTTTAGGGTTTAAAATTTAAGAATCAGAACTTATGATTTATGATTTTAAGATTTAGGGTTTAGATTTTGAATGTATCAACTATTATGTTTGTATTTTGTTTACATCTCCTTCCTGATTTTAGAAAATATAATATATAATCATTTTCATTTAATTAAGATGGGTCATCACGAGTTAACTGTCGTTAAATATTTTGGTACAATTAAACATTTTGTTCTTATTATATACATATTCTCTGAATTTAATCATACATTTAATAAATTAAAATAAATTTAATCTTCTAATAAATTAAATATATTAAATTAAAATTTAGTTAGTCCTTTAATCGAATGGTGACACATGGCATGACACGTAGCACTAGTGACAAATGGCATCATTCGATTGGAGGATTAAATTTATTTTAATTTATTAAAAGTATGATGAAATTGAGAGAATATGTAAATAACAAGGACCAAATGTGTGATTATACCAATAATATCACATCACCTAATATGTTTAACTGTTAACGTCAGTTAACCTCTGGTGATCACATCTTAATTAAATAAACACGAAAGTGATCATATCTTAATTAAATAAAAATAAAAAATGACTATATATTATATTTTCTGAAATCAGTGAGGAAAAGTAGATAAATCAAAAACATATGTGATCAATCATGTAATTAACTCTTTTATTTATTGTTTAACAAAATTGAATCAAAATAATAGTAATAAATAATTGAAAGCAGAAAAAACAAATCTATACCCAATGTTGTTGGGCCTCATGGGCTAATCTTCATCATTTCATTTTCTCAGTCGTCTCAAAATCCTCTCGAGCCTTCTGCGGAGAAAAATTCAAGCCTCAGCTCGCGACTATCCCCAGTTGCAGCAGGTAATCTTTCTTTCTTAGCAAATGCATTGAAATTTAACTGTTCAATTCATGACCTAAGCTTGTTAATTGCTGAAAAAACCGTTCCTTTTAGGAAATATTAGGAGAGATTGTGATTCTATGTTCGTAAGGGATTCTTTTAATTTAATTACGATTGAGACATTAAATTTGAAATTTTCTTGCTTGTTAACTGCAGGTGGTTTTTGCTGACAGAAGGTTAATTTTCCTATTTGAGAGCTTCTGTTTTTCTATTTTCATTTGCTTTTTTATTTGTGGGTTAAGCTTTTGGAGTGTTTTTTGTTTTAATTCATAAACTTGTTAGGTAAGTATATTATATCGTTTTCTAGGTAACATGGATAGGGTTAGTCGAAACTCACCCTTGTTTAGGAGATTATTTCATTCGTTATCCCGCGATGGTCCTTCTGAAACCTTGAAGATAAAGATTGCTGAAATTCGGAAGGCCAGGAAAAAGAGTCCCAAGAAGGATCAGTTATTTGTGGAGGTTCCCGATTCAAGATCCTTTCTAGATACTGCAACGCTGCCGATGGTTCTTGCTGTAGCTGGAATTGCACTGTTTGCGAAGCTGCTCATGATGGTTTGTTTTCTCAAATCTCTGTTTTTGCTGAGAATGCTCCTTCAGTTACGTAGTTTGATGATTGCTTCTAGGTGATCTGTTTGAGAAACTACGGTTTTTCAGGCTGCCTTGAGTGTGCAAAGCTCAATATCTTATATTGTCATCCATGGACAATGCAATTTAGAGTAAAATAATCACTGCTAGAAGCAGTTCTTGTGAAAGTTTATTCTTATTGGTTTGATAGTTCAACAGTTTATAGAAATCCTTGTTGGTTATGTTGTCACTCTTGATAACCCGCTGGACATTGTATATTCATTGTGTAGTTACTTAATTCAATGTATTTGGAGGAAAAGAAATTACACACTCGTGGAGTTTGTGGAATGAGCTTAGTGATGTTTGTTATTTATTTATCTTTTGTTGTCGGCCACATAATCTTCTTTCCCGGATGAAACCAAACCACTCATCATGACACCTTAATTTTCCTTTTTTTTTTTGAGGCTTTATGAATCGTCTTCTGACAGTTGCATGTCTCATTGAGTGCTCTCGTTTAGTATTTACGAAGGAATGCGGAGATTTTTATATTGATATTTTGTGCATTGGCAGCATGATGAATCGAAGTCCCAGGAAATGATTGAGCGAAAAATAAAGAATGCTCCTCCTGGTCAAGGCACGGTCAAGATGCTTACTCGTGAGGAGTGGGAAGAAATTAGAGAAGTCAGACCAAGAACTCCTTTTGAATCCAAGCTTGCTCGTCCAAATGCAAAAATAAGAACCGGAGAACCATTGCATATGGTAAGCCACATATCTGGTACTCGATTTTGTTCGATGGATGAATATGCGAATCTGTTCTTTTTTTCTTATTGATGGCTGCTGGACCCTTTTATGCATGCATCGACTGCATTTAAATGATTTTTGCATCAGCTAATAATCTTTTAAAGAAAGACCCTTGATGTTGATGGTTTTCAAATCTTGCTGATTTTTGTCTTTCATGTAGGAGGACTTGAAGAATTGGACAATTGATGTTCTTACAGATGCAGTAACGAGGGCTGAAAACTGTTCGAAACGTAAGTAGAACTGAAATCATGCTAGAAGACTTTGCCATATTTTTTCCCTCGAGTACAAATGCAATTCTTTGATAGAATTAAGAACCATTAGTGATTCTGATGCCTAGTGTGAATAACTATGCAAACCTACCTATGGGGAAAGGGTTCAAATGGATTTGCATGGGATTTAACTGTATCCAATGATGATTGGATATTTAGCAGATTTACAGAGGCATATAATGTATAACATGTTATGACGTCATCTTGGGGGTTTTCCCCCCTGAAAAAGGAAGTTCATATTTGCACAACTTTGATTTCTTTTAATTTTAAATTTTCATTATTGTTTGCCTCAAAGAACTTGTGTATCATTTGGAATTGTGAATCTTGAGGCTCCGACTAACCTTGAATCCATGGGAATGCTGAAAAATTGAATTTTCCAGATCGTAAACTTCAATTTATGATAGATTAATGGTTGTTTTTTTACTTTTAAAGACATGATAAAATGTTTTAGTTCTTTGAAGAGAGAATGTCCTTCACTACAGAATACTTAAATCTTAAAATGGTGTAAAATTCAATTATTTTTTCCAATTTAAAGATCAAATCTTAACTTCCCTTTTTGTTCCTTGGCAACTTCTGTGGTAATAAATAGAAACCCCATGAAAGAGAAAATGGAACATCATCAATGTAGTGGTCCAAAATATCATCGAGTAATAATGTATGAAAGAACAATATACGAATCAAATATGGCTCTTTTGAAGCTTTTGAAAGCCTGGAAACAGCCGGGGACGCTCACAATGGGCTCAATCACATATATTCCTTTTTATCTATCATTTCGTAATAATAGCACAAAAGACAACAAATTCATAAATAATCCACTCATTTGAACATGAGTGCCGAAAGTCATAATATTCAACTAATGTAATACCAAAATAATACACCTGTAAACCCTCCAGATGACAAATTGTAGAAGTTCCTATAGAAGGTTTCTTGGAAGAAAAAATGGAATTCAAAGCATACTAGGATGCCAGCTGCTATAGTAGGGATGAATAATGAAATATCTAATTGTAATACCTTATAGTTTGTAGTAGAATTAAATGTGGTAGAAGACAACTTCAGCAAATGAATGAAACTGACAAGATCTTCCTGGAAATAACTAAATGCAAAAGCAAGCAAAGGACGATACTTGGTTCTAAACCATAAACCTGCTTTTAATAGGCTCAGGTTCTCTTGTTGGGTTCAAAGACATACTTAGCCAGTGATTCCTTGATAGATAGCATATCGGGGAACTCTTTCTTCAGCTTAGATGCGTCCATCTCATTGTTGCTTCGAGGGGCAACTATCACCTTGGCTTGTTCTTCCAATGTGAAGTTCACCCACTGAAACTTGGGGTCAATGTAAGCCTTGTACATCTCCAGGATCTCGTTGTGGCTCACGACCCCCGGGTTCGTGAAGTTCCAGATACCCTTCAAGTTCCTTTTAGCCATCTCGATGGAAATGGGCAGAAGTTCATCCAATACTGTCATGCTGTTTGGAATGTTGACCACCTTGTTGTAGCGTGCAATCTTGGTGATAAAGTTGCGAGGGTTGTTTAGGTCAGATGAGATCGGCATTCGAACTCTGAGGGTGCAGACATTGTTGTATTCTTTCAACAGCTCTTCAACCTAAAAAAATGGAGGATGTTTATGTGATCTTAAGACATAAACCAACAGCCAAAATGAAAAAGATTAAAGATAGACAACATGGTTACCATAGCCTTGGTCTTTGAATAGAAAGAACCAGTGAAATTGGGTTTGTCTTCCTCTTTATACCCAATGCCAGAGCCCTCAGGATGTACTGCATCATACTCGAATATACACCCAGTAGCAAAATTCATCATCAAAAGTCCATGTTCTCTGCAAACGTCTGCCAAGGTCAAGGTTCCAGCCACATTGGTGCGGATTGTTTCGGTTTTGTGAGATTCACACCAATCAACATTGGGCCTACCAGTCACACCAGCAGCATTAAAAACATGGGTTGGCTTTATATTCTGAATATCTGCCATAAGTGATGAACGATCTTCCAAGCGCCCTCTTCCATATTCAAAGGGAATACCTTGTTTCTCACATAACTGACCAAGAAGTCCTCCAATCCAGCCAGTCCGGCCATAGATCAAGAACTTCAAGGCTGGTTTCTGGGGCGAGCTACTAGTTTTGAGGATTGGAACCACCATCTGGGTCTGAGTAGAACCAGTTACATATGATGAATCTTTTTCCTCTTCACAATCAAAGTGTCTCCCACCAGGCATCATCAGCATTCTTGGGTGTGGAAGCAGAGCACCGGACACATCGCCCCACCAATCTGGATTCTGAGTATACCATTCTATGGTCTTCTTCAATCCATCTTCCCATACAGTTCGCTCAGACCAACCCAAGTTCTTCAGTTTCTGATCATCAAGAAAATACCTTTGGTCATTGAATGGTCTGTTTTCAACGAACTTGATGCTAGTCTCTGGATCCATTGAAAAAAGTTTGCATATATCTTTGGCTACATCAATCACTCTCCTCTCCCTCTTTGTTCCAATATTATAAACATGGCCAACTTCACCCTTGTGAAGAATAACTTCAAATGCTTCAGCCACATCCTCACAGTATAAGTAACTCCTCACATTAGAACCATCCCCGTGAATCGGAAGAGTCTTCCCCCTCATTGCCAAGAGGATAAACTTCGGAATTAACTTTTCAGGGAACTGGTTGGGACCATAAACATTGTTTCCACGGGTTGTAATCACGGGTAATCCATACGACCTACCATATGCCATGACAAGCATTTCAGCACCAGCTTTTGTTGCAGAGTATGGATTTGTTGGCAGAAGTTGGGAAGCTTCATGGTTTCCTACAACAGCATCCTCTTCTGTCTCCCCGTAAACCTCATCTGTGCTGACATGGATGAACCTCCTGATTTGGCCAGTGACTTTGCAAGCTTCAAGCAGGACATGAGTTCCATAAATATTGTTCTTGGTAAACTCAAAGCTGTTTCCAAATGAGTTATCGACGTGAGTTTGGGCTGCAAAATGCATAATTGTATCAATAGACTCGGTGATGAGGAGGTAGTTGACAAGGTCAGCACTGCCGATATCCCCCTTCACAAACTTAAAGTTTGGAGACGACTTGGAGGGAAGGAGGTTTTTCAGGTTGGAGCAGTAATCAAGCTTGTCAAGCACAACAATCTTGTAGTCTGGGTAGCTTCGTATGAGCCGATTAGCGACATGTGAGGCAATAAACCCTGCAGCCCCAGTTATGAGGATGTTCTTTGGGGTATAATTAGCCATTGCGGAACCAATTCTGCAAAAATAAGAAAGGACAAGCTAACTTCAGAAGTATGAAAAAAAATCAAAAGAAAATCAGCACCAAATTGAATAAACAAATACATCAAAATGTAAACATAGAATCAGGGACCAAACCTAGTATGATCAAGTAAAATTACAAAAGCAAATAAAGACAAAAACAAACAGTAAATCACCACCAAGACGAGTTAACAAAATTCCATCTTTAAAGAATATTCCACCAGATCTGACGGCAAAATAGGTGGATCGGGCCATTCAATGCAACCAATTCACGTTATCTTTGTTCTTTTAATTAGCTTTGGCTCATCAAATTAAACTTGAACAACAAACTATCTAAAGCTTCCATTTCACTGTTTTATCCTAGAGTCAATGTTTGCACTCGTAGCTAAAAGCAAAGAAGGAAATGATCCATAATATAGTTACTTCAGCAACAAGATCCACCTCAATTTCCAGATCAAATATAAAAAAAAAACAGATCCTTTAAATCCCATTTCATTCATATATTAGCAGAAAGAGACCCGGATCCAATTAATAAGCAAAAAAAAAAAAACAGCCAGAGTAACAGCTAAAATAGCAAACAAGACATGGAATTTTCTCACATTTCGGAACAGATCTAAGAAAATTAAGAGATACCCAGATCCTAAAATGGCCTGGATCGGTTAAAAAAACACCAAATTTCTGAAAAGAAACGCAAACAATAATCGATCACATTCGATCTTCTACCAAATCACACTGAAAAACATAAACAAGAGAGAGAGAGAGAGAGAGAAGAGTTTGACTTACAAATCAAGATAAATCAATCAAACTCCAGATGGAGAAAGACAAGCAGAAATCTAGAGCGGCGTTTCAGAGGAGAAAGGAGAACAGCTCTGAAGTAGAGGGAAATTGCAGAGACTCCGCGTATACGTATAAGCTATATATAGCTCTAAATAACAGTTAAAAGACGAGCCATGGAAATTTATTGTACATGCCAAAAACACCCTTGAGAGTTGATATATGACACTGCTGTCATGCTTCTTGTGTGGACAATAAAGTATAAGGGTCGTTGTGGAATGGAAAAAGTACAGGATTTGAGAGCTGGCCAACACGCTGTTGATGATGATGACGGTGCTGTCGGCTGTTAATTGTGGACTTAATTAGAAATTAATTCGAGACACTAAATAATGCTTGAATTTGGACAAAGAATTCCTTTCTTTTTTTCAAATAAATTTATATTTTTTTCATGTTTATGAAGATTTATTTTCTTTAATTGGGTTTTGGTCAACTTTCTGCTTGCAATGAATATTTTTTTTAATTGTAATTCTTGACTAATTTGAAGAAGTTTTTCAAATTGTTTTGACTAATTAAGATTAATTTTTTATAAAATAAATTATTTATATATAGAAGCTTTAGATGATAACCTTGACATCGGTCTGTAATAAGCTTAGTTATATGGTATAAGATTTTATTCGGTTATCAAAATTGTATTCGATTGATGATTAAAAAAAAAAGAATAAAGTATACAAATAGTCCCTCAATTATAGGATGTTGTTTTGTCAAGTCATTCGATTCGATTATAGGGTGTTGCTTTGTTGAGCCTCTCAACTATTCAAAGTTACAAAATAATCGTCTGACTATTCATACATTCCAATCGCATCCTTTTCCGTTAAAAAATGACGGTCATTTGAGCTAGATGTTAAGATGCTGAATGATATATAGTGATCCTTTGAGATTATGGGATCAGATTTTATCATATCTCAGTCAGCAGGTTAAAGTCCAAATCAAACTACTATCAATTTTTTAACAAAAATGACGAGTTTGGAATATATTAATAGTCGAGTAATTATTTTGTAAATTTTAATAGTTGAGGGACTCAATAAAGTAATATCCTATAGTCGAAAGACCAATTCATAACTTTTAATAGTCGATAGATTCATCAAAGTAATATCTTATAGATGAGGACCATTTGTGTATTTTTCCCAAAAAAATGTATTAGATCGATCCATTAAATTTAAAAATGGATGATTTAATCAATTTGATTTGTCAAATAAAATTGAATATAAAGTGAATTATCGCAGATCAATAAAAACCAATAACTAAAATATAACAAATTAAAATGTTGATTGAATGAATTATTGTATTTTAGCGAAATGGGATAAGAGGTATGTATTTTTTAAATTAATATATGTGACTTCTTTTATTTTTTTTAATATAATTCTCTAACACAAAAAATAAGATATTTTGACCAATTTTTTCGTCGTTTGAAGGTTATTGTGTTGACGTGACGATCCACGATGTTAATGTGATGGTCTATGGTAATGATGTGATAGTCCGCAGTGATTAATAACATGACATATAAACTAAATTGATAAGTTAAACATGACAGATAAATTACTACATCAGTATCATGGACCACTACATTAGCATCGTGAACTGCTACGTCAATACTGTAACGGTCAAATGATGAAAATCGTTTGTCAAATACAAGGGATATAATTTTTGAGTTGAAGGGTCATACTAAGAGAAAAAAATAATATGATTGATGCATTAATTTTTCTTAAAAGTACATAGCTCTTTGGTGCCTTTTTATTTTTTAAAATATTAAATTAATAATTTGACCGTCAATAATAATAAAAACGTTAAAATACCTAATAATAACAAAATCAGTAGAAATAATAATGTTTCTGATAATTTTTTATCGGTTTTGTTATTTAAATAATAATAAAATCGGTAGCGCCTTTTTTAACCGTATATTAAGGCTGCCGCACGTGATCATTTCCCACAAACTTTACATGTGGAAATTTGGAATTATAATTAGGGAATTATAATTTAATCTGAAACTGATGGATTTTGATTCAATTCGATAGAATTAATTTTTTTTAAATGCTGGGTGTGAGTTGGATTGGATTGGATTGAATCAGTTTTTTTAAGAGTGAGGTTGGGTAAGGTTGGGTTCGGGTGGAATATGAAAAAACTTTTAATCGACCCGACCCGGAGATAATAATATATTTTTAAAAAACTATTATTTTTTAATGAAGTCTTTATTTTATATCGGGTTAGATCGAATTTATACTCTAAAAAGTTCGGTTGGGTCGGAGTCGAATGAAAAATATATATTTTGTGAGTCGGGTCAGATGGAGGATACATAATTTTTCCAATCGGATCAATTTCAAGTGGATAATACATCTTTTCGGATCAAGTTAGGTTGATCAAAAACTCGACCCTAACCCGACGGTTGTCATCCTTGATTATATCCCTAGAAAAATAGCTACTAGATGAATATGTTATTAATATTTCAACCTGCAACCTGCAACATTGGTGGAGTTTTCTCATGCAATTCAGTTTGAATTGAAGAGGAAAAATGTTTCCTAGTTTTTTTTTTTTTATAATTCAATTGATCAATGAACATTCAGAAGGATTACGTAGGAAAGAAAGCAAGTGGAAAATTCTCTCTCTCTCTCTCTATATATATATATATATGTATAAATATATATATATATATACGACAATCAAATTGAACTGAAATCACAGCTTTTGCTACTTGTGAATTATCAGCATTAAGAAAAACATTGTTTTATCCCTTTGGAAAAGACAGACATGGCATCGAAGGCATCGCTTGAGGTTAGTTCTTTGCTGGTTCCAAGTGTTGTAGAGCTGTCTAAAGAATTATCGACCTCCATCCCCAGTAGATACCTTCGATCGGACATCGAAAAAGCAGTGGTTCCTAATGGCGATCACGTTCTGGAAATCCCAGCCATAGACATGCAGAAGTTGGTTTCTGGTGGACCAAACAATCCCGAAGTCGAAAAGCTTGATTTCGCTTGAAAAGAATGGGGATTCTTGCCTCGATCCTGGCCTTGTGTGCTCGAAGTATACTGATGTTGTTGTCTTTGTCGGTTTTGATTTTTGTTGAATGAATTGGCGTGCAGCTGGTAAACCATGGATTTGACTCGACTCTGTTGGGGAATATCAAGGCGGAGATCGATGAGTTCTTCAAGCTTCCGATTGAGGAGAAGAAGAAGTGGTGGAAGTCACCTGGAAACGCCGAGGGATTCGGACAAGCTTTTGTTGTGTCCGATAATCAGAAGCTTGATTGGGGCGACCTCTCCGTCTGAGAAACCCTCGCTTGATCCCGAGCCCCCCTTCTCCTTTGAGGTACACTCCCAACATTATAACTAAAACACAACACAACTAGAGATGGTCTTATTAGGTTGGATCAAGTTTTTGGTACTTAATCCGACTCGAATCTATTCCTGAAACCAACCATTAGCACTTAATCCTACTCGAGTTTAAAACGATCTCACCTGATAGGAAACCGATATACTTGTAGTACATAAAATAAAGACCTAATCGAAGAAAAATAAAATAGAAAGATATATTATTAAAATTATCTATAAATATATAAAAAGATAATTATAATATGGGTATAAAAGATTATTATAATATGGGTAAAGTATACAATGATCCCCTAATTATAGGATATTGCTTTATTAAGTCCTTCGACTATTAAAAGTTAAAAAATAGTCATTTGACTAAAGAGTGTTGCCTTGTTAAGTCCCTCAACTATTAAAAAGTTACAAAATGATCACCCGACTATTCATTATGTTCCAAACTCATCATTTTCTGTTAAAAAAGGGCGATATTCTAATCTGAATGTTAACATGCTTATTGTGATATGATAAAATTTGATCCTAGAATCTCAAATGACTATCATATATCTCAATCATTAGGTTAATATCCAACTTAGACGATCGCCAATTTCTTAACATAAAAGGATGAGCTTGTGACATAATGAATAATCGGATGACTATTTTATAACTTAAAAATAGTTGAGAGACTCAATAAAGCAACATTCTATAGTTGAAGAAACATTTTGTAACTTTTAATTGTCAAGGGACTTAATAAAATAATACCCTATAGTCGGGGATCATTTGTGTACCATACCCTTATAATATTATGTCAAGTCAATTTTTTTTAAGAATGGGTCGGATCAAGTATAATTTGAGTTTAGGATGAAAAATTTTGATGCAAAACCGAACTTTTAAAATAAAAAGATAATCTGATCAAATCGGATTAGATCAATTCTTATTGGGTCCAAGTGAAATACCCATCCTTATGCGTAACATGAGTTTTTGAAGTCTAATATCCACATGGTTTTGTGAAGCATTTTGGCTAGTTGGTCTTAACCCTGAAACTACTTAATTTGCTATTTTTGTTTTTGATATAGTGAATCGATGGAGCGTTACACGTCCGAGTTAAACAATCTATCGACGGGCATGTTAGAAAAGATAGCAGAAGGCCTGCACATGAAAGCCGAGGAAATGACGGAGCTCGTCGGAGAGGGAAGGCAAACGATTAGGATCAACTGTTACCCGCCATGTGAACTATCCGACCAGGTCATGGGACTCACTCCTCACTCGGACCCCACGCTCATCACCATTTTGCTTCAACTCAACGACATCGATGGTCTCGAGATAAGGAAAGACGGGAAGTGGGTTCAAGTTCAACCCCTCCCGAATGCTTTCATTATCAACGTCGGCTACATTTTGGAGATCATATCGAATGGACGGTACCATAGCATCGAGCATCGTGGGATGGTGCACCCGGTAAAGGAACGGCTCTCGTTCGCGACGTTCTTCGGGCTGGGATTAGACGGCGAATTCGGCCCTGCACCGAGCTTGATCTCAGAACAATCGCCAGCTAAGTTTATGAGGGTGAAAGTTCAAGAATTCTACAAAGGCTTGTTCTCTCGTAGGCTTCAGGGGAAAGCTTATGTTGATACCTTTAAAATTCAACAGGATTGAGGATTAAATCAGCCAATTTTCTAGTAGTTATGGATCAAGTCTCTACTAATGCATTGAATCATACATCCTCAAACAATGACTTTCATTTTAAATTGGACTCTAAAATTTAGAATATTTCAATTTTATCCCCGAAGTTTTAAATTGGTTCATCTTTCATCGGAAGATCAAAATATGAATGCAATTAAGATATTTATTCCTTGTTCATCCATATAATTCAAAGGATATGGATTTGCAAACAACACAAAGAAGAAAAACAATATAAACAAATAATAACAACAGCAGGAACTTCTGCAACTATAACAATTAACAAGAAAACATTACCTTTCTTTTGCTCATATACCATTAATTCGAAACAGTTTCTCATTGAATAATCAGGCACTCTTGCAAGGAATCAACAGATTCTAACAACCACCTTGTTCTTCTTGCCTGCAGATAGAAGAAGCACTTTGCCATCTACAATGTCTTCGGCCTCTATTCTTTTACTTTCATTATCCACTCTTTTGTTGTTCAAGTAGCCCCCCTTGCCTCAATAGACGACGAGCAGCAGATTTGCTCCCGAACAAACCAGATGAAACACAAAGATCAACGATCAGAAGATTCAAACACTTCGGAGTAAGGCAAGGAGCAAGATGGAACATCCTCGGCGATCCCTTCAATGGTTTTCCAATCCAATTTCGTCTCTGATCCGGGTCTCAATGCTTCAGTTGCCTTACTAGCCTCGCTTAAACCATCTTCGCCATGAACAAAACGAGCGACTTCTTCAGCTAGCTTCCGCTGGGCGGCATTGGGCGCATAACCGGGATTTTTCATTGCCCTTTCCAGCTCATTTATCTCTTTCATATCCAAGAATGTAAGAATTCTGAGAAACCTCACCACATCTGCATCCGGAACAGAGAAGAAATACTCGTAAAACTTATATGGAGACAACATAGAAGGCGAAAGCCAAATCGCACCATCTTCTGATTTTCCAAACTTGGTACCATCCCTCTTCAATAAAAGAGGAAATGTCAAGCCATAAGCTCCTTCAGCTTGTAAAATCTTCCTTATCAACTCAGTCCCAGCAGTAATATTACCCCACTGATCACTCCCACCAATCTGTACATACACACCTTCATTATCAAAAAGGTATAGAAAATCATAACCTTGCAACAACTGATAAGTAAACTCAGTATAGCTCATCCCTTGTTCGGATTCCAACCTCTTCTTAACACTCTCCTTACTCATCATACTTCCCACCCGAGCATATCGACCGACCTGTTTAAGGAAATCAAACAGCTTTGTGACCACATCTTTGGAACCAAGAAAGTACAATGAGACCCAAAAGATTTCCCAAATGCAAGCTATCAGCAATTGGGTCAAAACCACAGTAAACTTTGAGAGGACCAGCAGTATGGTCTGAACAAACCAACCTGAGATTTTCATTGGTTATGGATTCAAGCAGTACTCTTTCTTTAAGTATTTTAGCAACATTCGGCGTGCCACCCGTTTGAGATTTCGGTTCAACAATTGGCTGAGTGTTAAGGCTACAACTTACGGAAGAAAAAAAGAAACTTTTAATGGGTCTTTTAGAAAAAAGGATAACTTTGGCTGCAGAAAAGGGTATGAAGAATTTTCCATGATTGAAGCAAAGCAAAGTCCTTGAAGCCATAAACAGTGATCTGTTTCCAATATTAAAATTAAAAAAGATTATAGCTTGATGTAATAAACAATGCTAAATCTTTGAAAATGAAAGAATAGATATGAAAAGAAAAATTAAAAAAGAAATACTGAGAAAGGCTGACCTTGGTCACTATGGCTGTCCACTGAGTCTCGAACCAGAGAGAATAACAGAGAAAAAACAATGCCAAATCTTTGTGGTTGGTAATAGAGGTGGCTGTTAACTTCGAAAACCATTCCCCATGCTGGTTTAGCCAACCATGGTATACTGAGGTTGCAGCCTGGTCTGTGGATTCCTATTGCCTTGTATTCTGGATTTCTCTTGAAATGTGGTGCTGGTCCGGAAGTAACAATGAGGGGACATTGTCTGCAGAGGAAGGACTGCATTTCGGTGAAGGATCTTCACATCGAAACCATCTTTAGCGTTTTTTCCCATTCTATTATGGTATGATAGATTCGACAATTCTACCTGGTTTTGCTGTACAAAGCGGAAGGAGAACAGAATTCCAACATCAGCTAATTGGTGGAACAAACAGGTATACAAACCTAATGGTTCGGTAGTTTTTAGTACCAAAAACGGTTGCTTGAGTAGAAGAAACCTTAGGTAGAAGCAGAACAGAATCAGTCCTACCCGTTGGCACTGGCACCCTAAGTGGAGGCCGTGCGGTCTTTGGATTACCAGCAATGGTATCTGTTTCCTTTTTGGAAGCCTTGTCTTTAAACAGTTGATTCTCGCACGAAAGGATGGTATTTTAATGAACTGTAGACTTGCAATAAAACAGAGTACAAGTTATAATTTTTCATCTCGAGAGGGCGAGAAAAGGCGGTATCTTATACATCTGTCATTTAGCTGGTGGGAAATTCATGAAAAATGAGAAACATAAATGAGTCCATGATTTCCCTTGCCCCCATCTCAAAACAGCTTTAGAAGTAGCATAATTAACATATCTAACAGACTATATTCATGCGTTTGAAACCGGATTGTCTGAAACATGTAATACCTTGGAAGAGAAGCATGCTTCCTCTCCAAAGGGAAAACCGGGGCACTTCTACCACTGTTTTCCTCGAGATACGCAAACTGAAGTCAAACTCGACCTTTGAGATTGGATGGCAAGAAGGTTCCCTCTCGATTTTAGCCAAGCCTTTGAAGTAAGGGTCAGCTAAAGCCTGTTACATTAATATGGAAATGTTTCAGATCACAGTATGATGAACCTAAAAGAGGATGAACTTGCACAACATAGACATGCACGACAGCACGAGAAAGCTCCCTTCATTAAGGCATAAAAGATAAGAAAACACACCAGCTCGGCAGTTGGTCGGTCCTTGGGATCAAAAGCCACAATGCTAACGGATCTGCATTGGGGAACTTCTTTGCAAATGGAACTGGCTGTTTCTTCTGCATTTCCATCAAGTATTTTCTTGCCTTTTCATTTCGAACCTGTAATCATGTAAAACAAATATCATCAATTCACTCTAGCAAATAACAGAGAAGAATAGCGAAGTAGTCCCCGAAGAAAACAACACACACACACAAAAACAAGATGCCGTACTGCAGAAATGGTTTCAGCTGAAGGTGTCCCCATAAGATCAGTGATCAATTCTAATTGACGAACAACACTTATTCCAGGAAATAGGGGCTGTTAGATTTGGCTTGAAATTAAGTTGGCAAGTTGGAAATTTCATCTTGGTTGGTGGCCAACTTATTGAAAATTTCATCTTGGTTGGTGGCCAAACTTTGAATATGGGAATTTCATATTTGGTGGCTAACTTGTATACATTGGAAAATTCTTTGGTAGGTGGCCTACTTATTTTTCATGTTTAATCCCTAAAATATTAGGTTATTTATAAGTTTATTCCTTAAAACTCAACTATAAATAGACCTAAGTATTTAATTAGAAATCATCCCAAAAAACAAGTTCTCTCTTCCTCTTGTATTCTTCATTCTTTGGGAATTCTAAAGAATTCCATTTGTTGTAATATTGGCGATATAGTAAAGTTATCATTCGGTGTGGTGCCCGAGGAGTAGACGATATTCTCGTCGAACCTCGTAAATTTGGTGTATTCTCTCCTTTATTGTTTTTATTCGGTTTTTTCCATTGTGTTTCAATATTCAATAGTTTGACAGGTTTATCCGCTGTGCAACCTTTGGTGGTTTTGATCTTGACATTTTAGGTCAATTTTGAAACTACGTTCGTGTGGGAAATTACTCGATTTCCCCAACAATTGGTATCAGAGCTTCGATTGAGGTTATCCTGGTGGTTCTGTTGCTGAAAAGATACAGTTTGTGCTATTGAATATTGTTCGTTGGAATTAAAATGCTAAAATACGGATCAGTTGAGACATCAAGTTCTTCATCCGGACCAGTGAAGAGGATGATGTCAAATGCAAATTTCTCGGTGGAGTTGTTCGATGGATCCGGTCATTTTGGCATGTGGCAAGGCAAGGTGTTAGACGCTTTATTCCAACAAGGTCTAGACATCGCCATTGAGGAAGAAAAGCCCGAATATATGGAGGAGAAAGAATGGAGAACAATCAATCGTTTGGCGTGCAACACGATTCGATCTTGTCTTTCCAGGGAGCATAAGTATGGCTACAAGAACGAGATTTCTGCAAGTAAGATGTGGAAAGCATTGGAGGAAAAATTCCTAAAGAAAAGCTCTCAGAATCGTCTCCACATGAAGAAAAGATTGTTTAGATTTGATTATCAACCAGACACCAGTATAAATGAACACATCACTGCGTTCAATGAGATAGTGGCAGACTTATTGGGCATGGATGAAACCTTCAAAGATGAAGATTTGGCCTTGATGTTGTTGTCATCTCTTCCAGATGAATTTGAGCACCTTGAGACAACGCTACTTCATGGTAAGGATAATGTTACCCTTAAAGATGTAACTGCTGCTTTGTATAGTTATGAGCTTAGAAAGAAAACCAAGAAGGAGAGTAAGTACGAAGCAGTGGAGGCCATGGTGGCAAGAGGTCGCTCGAAAAGTCAAAAGCCAAAGTGGAGAGGGAGATCAAAGTCGAAGTCCAGATTGGGAAAAGATGAATGTGCCTTTTGTCATGAGAAATGCCATTGGAAGAAAGATTGTCCGAAGCTGAAGAAGAAATGAAAAGCTGCTCTAGATGCATGTGTTGCAGAGCAAGATGCAAATGACTCTGACATATCATTGGTTGCTTCATCAACAACATTCCATTCAGATGAATGTATATTAGATTCGGGTTGCACCTATCATATGTCCCCTAATCGGGAGTGGTTCTCCGATTTAGTAGAACTAAATGTAGGAGTTGTTTATATGGGCAATGACAATGCCTGTAAAACTGTTGGGATAGGTTCAATTCGATTGAAGAATCAAGATGGATCAACCAAAGTTCTGACGGATGTCCGATACGTGCCCAGTTTGAAGAAAAATCTCATCTCGTTGGGAGCCTAATGTCACAAACTTGGGCTTTTTCCCACACTTTGGGCTATGTTGGGCCACATTTGGTCTTGGAGATTGATAGAATAGTGTAGATTATTCTAGAACACTCAAGACTTGTACATATTCTAGAAGCATTCTAGAGTCTTCCATGTTAGGTAGGAAATAATGGAGAATTCTAGAGAATCTCTCCCTACCGTAGAATCAAATCAATCTCCATCGTCCATTGAGGAGGAGGGATGCTATAAATAGGTGTAGAATCCTCATTTGTAAATCATCCAAGAGTTGTAAGCATTCAAGCATTCAACAAGCTTTCTCTCTAAGTTCTTTCCTTTCTTCTTTGTCTCCTTACCAATCATTTCACTAGCACGAGTTCGAGTGAGGCTGACTTAGCTATCGCGAGGGGCGAAAAGGAGCTAAGGCCGTACGAGGCTTATTGAGCGATTAAGTCTGTGACAGTTGGTATCAGATCCGGTTAAAGCATCAATATCGTGCACGTATCTTGTAGGAATGGCCGGGAACTCGAACGATTCGACTGCTACCGAGGGACGTGGGAAAGAAACTGCACCCACCAACCCGAAGAAGAGCACCAACGAGTCGACTGTTACCGAGGAACGTGGGAGAGAAGCTGCACCCACCAAGCAGAAGAAGAAAAGGGACCAGAGTAAGGCCTGCGAGGGGAACTCACTAGAACCGATGGTGGCAGAATTCGGGGAGAGGCTGGAGAGAGTCCAGCATGACTTCAAGACGTTGGAGGACCATGTCTTGGAGCAAGTTGACGCGCTCAAGGGGAGTGCCGAAGAGACTAGCAATGAGGTAGAAGTTCGGTTCATACGGCTAGAATATATGATCCAATCCTTACGTGAAAGCATCGAGAGGATGCGGGAGGACGTGACGCTCTGCAAGAGAGCCGCCGTTAGCGGGACTGCTAACATCACCATCTCCAACCCGAGGGTCGAGTGCCCGAAGCCGCAAGGGTTCAACGGGGCAAGGGACGCCAAGGAAGTCAAAAACTACCTATGGCGGATGGAACAATACTTCGAGGGAATCGACCTTAACGACGAGGCCGCCAAGGTAAAGACCGCTGCCTTATATCTTTCCGATACTGCTATGTTATGGCGGTGTAGGAAACATGCCGACATTGAGCGATGGGCTTGTCGGTTAGATACATGGGATGAGTTCAAGAAAGAACTCAAGAAGCACTTCTATCCCGAGAATGTGGTCTATGAGGCTCGCAAGAAATTGCGGGAGTTGAAGCAACAGGGTATTATGCGGGACTATGTGAAAGAATTCACAACCCTTATGCTTCAAATTCCCAATATGTCCGAAGAAGATCTCTTGTTCTACTTCATTGACGGACTACAAGAATGGGCAAAGCAAGAGATGCACCATCAAGACATTAAAATGGTTGATGAGGCCATTGTCATCGCCGAGTCACTCATCGACTTCCAACCCTACTCCCACACCAATGCGACGAAAAATAAAGATAAGTATCCAGCCAAAGGTGGGGGAGAACGACAGGAGAATTACCAAGGCAACCGAGACCGAGATCACCGAAGGCCACAAGCTAAAGAGGGAGATCGTGATCGACGTCCGGGCCGAAGGGACTATGAAGAGAAGAAAAAGGCCTTCGTTCCCAAAGGAGAATGCTTCTTGTGTAAAGGGTCGCATTCGATGAGTAGCTGTCCCAAACTTGGTTCATTGTCTGCCATCGTCGATCGTCAAGACACAGAGTCTCAAGCCGAGATGGGGTCACTCCAAGTTCTAAACGCCTTAAAGGCCAAGCCATTGACACCAACACCAAGTAATGGGCTCATGTATGTGGAAGCGGTGATCAACAAGAAGCCGACAAGAGCCATGGTGGACACGGGAGCTACCCACAATTTCGTGTCTAAAGACGAAGCCAACCGTTTGGGCCTAAAGTACACTGGGAGCACATGATGGCTCAAGACGGTAAACACACAAGCGGTACCACTCCAGGGCGTGACACGAGGGGTCGAGCTACGCTCAGGCACTTGGAAGGGCCAAGTGAACTTTTCTGTCATTCCTATGGATGACTTCAAGGTTGTTTTGGGGTTAAACTTTCTCCGACAGGTAACCGCTATCCCTATACCTTCCTTTAGTTCTGTTTGTATCTTGGAGAAAGGGTCTCCTTACATGATCCCCACGGTCGAGGCACCAAAAGAGCAAGGTCGAGATTCCACACAACTCTCGGCCATACAACTTGGTAAAGGCATCAAGAAAGGGGACATTACTTACTTGGCCATGCTAAAGGAAGACGACGAGATCGAGAAAATGTATGACCTACCATTGATCATCCGTGAAGTCCTAGAGGAGAACAAGGATGTGATGCCACCCGAGTTACCAAATAAACTTCCCCCAAGGCGTGAGGTGGATCACAAGATCGAGTTGGAACCCGGTGCCAAGCCGCCAGCCTTGGCACCCTACCGAATGGCTCCACCCGAACTTGAGGAACTTCGAAGGCAACTCAAGGAGCTAGTCGATATGGGAATGATTCGACCTTCGAAGGCACCGTATGGCGCACCGATACTCTTCCAAAAGAAACACGATGGGTCGTTGTGCATGTGTGTCGATTACCGGGCACTTAATAAGGTAACCATTAAAAATCGCTACCCAATCCCTTTGATTGCCGATTTATTTGACAGACTTGGAGGAGCCAAGGTGTACACGAAGATGGACTTGCAAAAAGGCTACTACCAAGTTCGAATTGCAGAAGGTGACGAGCCAAAGACCGCATGCATTACTCGATACGGATCGTATGAGTGGTTGGTCATGCCCTTTGGCCTATCCAATGCACCAGCAACGTTTTGCACGCTCATGAACAAGCTCTTCCAACCATACTTGGACCAGTTCATGGTGGTGTACTTGGACGATATCGTGGTATACAGTAACTCTATTGGGGAACATGTAGACCACTTGAGGATTGTGTTCAAGATACTTCGAGAAAACGAGCTGTACGTCAAGAAGGAAAAGTGCACGTTTGCCACCGAGGAAGTACACTTCCTTGGACATGTAATCGGCCATGAGAAGCTATTCATGGACGGAATCAAAATCAAAGCCATAACCGAGTGGGAGCCGCCGACCAAGGTAAGTAAGATGAGGTCCTTTCTTGGTCTAGTAAATTATTATCGCCGGTTTATACA